CCTCCCAATATATTAAAAAAAACTAACTTACCTTAGATCCAATCTGATTGCCACACCTCCCGACTTGAATATGAACAATTTCTCTCATTATAGCACGGAGAATTTACCCAAAAACTAAACAAAATCTCCAAAAGAAATCTTAAAAAACTAATTAAAAAACAGAAAACGTTATAGTACGCCTACATTTAATTATAATAATTAAAAAATAAAATTTACTAGCTTACAGCTAAGGCGTTTTGTTTCATGGCTTACTGGATTATGTGGGTTTTGAAAAACCCACTCGATTCACTGTTTTTAACAAAGTTCAAATAGGTTCGATGCAATGGTTCGATAATTTTTAAATTGTATTGTATGGTCAAGCTTGTTTTTTCTTTTTTTTTGTATTTTTCGAACACCTGGTACATATTTACAGAGTGTGTACTGCACTTTGTCTATATTATATCTATGGTGGAATTGGTATTGTGAGTACTATTTTTTTATAGTCCAATTCAAAGTCAAAATCATTTATTTCTATTAGACCAGGAAACTTTTGAACGTCAAAACAAAAAAAAATATATATTTTAATCTTAATTCAAGAAGGGCTTTTTTCCTTTGAAATATTAAAAAAAATGTCAGTCCTCTAGCGAAGCTATTTGCTCGATCCAAAGTGCAGATTCCTATAGAGAAGAATGAGCAAGAAACTCCTTTTTTTTTAAGAACGGAAAATCATTGAATTACTGCTCCCGCCTGGGTGAGGGGGGAGGGAGTGTCAGACTCTTACTGACTAAAAACCACCCCGTTCCTTCTCCTGCACGTCGAGCCGGAGCCCCGGTTACCCGTTAGGTTCTCCGCGACGGCAAGAAACTCCATAGGTTACTCTTTTTCAATCAGGTTCACAATACAACTATTGGTTACATTATTTTGTCCGTTCAATTATGTTAGAACAATGTAACTGTAAATGAAATTAACGTAAAAACCAACACTTTTAATGAATTCCACGTTCCAATCGATCATTTCCTACATTACTTACTTTATTTCTTTTTATCTTTATTTATTTACAGGGTTTTAACTTAAAAGAAAATGACACCCCGATTATTGAGCACAAAAAAATAACTAAATTTATATTAATTACGATAAATACACAATTCACCATAAACATAAAGTACATACATAACATAACATTACGCCTTTTATCCCCGAGGGGGTAGGCAGAGAAAGAAAGAAAGAAAAACCATTTATTTTGCTACGACACACAACAAGAATTTAGGAACACACAAAAGAGAGATTACAGAGGTGTACATTATGTCACTGTACAATGTAACACCCACTTTTCACTACTTATGTTACGAGTCCCATGTAATAAAGGGCCTATTGCCATATACCGGGCACAATTCCAGACTCCGTGCTACTACTGAGAATTTTTTGAAAAAATATAAAATAAAAGACCAAAAATTAATTAATAACTTTAATAATAAAAAATATAGAATAACCACAAAACAATAGTTACATCAAAATTGCGTCGTGCTTATAAAAATGCAAATACAAATTAATTTGTCTAGCTGAAGAATATATTAATACATATATATTAAATTAAATATTTCATTTCCTTCATTTTCTAACATATTGCAAATACACCTAATAATGTAACTTAACATCATGCCATTTATTTCATCATGGGATAGTTTCAGTAAAAAAATCATTCATGTTATTGCAGCAGAGTATTCCGAAAATACCATTAATAAAAACATTACTCGACGTCGACATGGTAATCGAACCCGAAACATCTTATTTGACAGTGATACTTGTAAGCATGCAATCAACAAGGCAGTGTTTATTGTTATTTCATATTACAATATTTGAAGTCCAGAAAATTACTGCACGTGCTACCGTGATTCCGAATGTACTAATCAATTTAATATCAATCTTACTACAAGCTAATAAGGAAGAAATTCCAACTACAAACTCATAATTGACTCGTATTTCAAACGTGGAAAACGATCATGGCTGATTTAAGAGCTTTTGAATGTTGCCAACAGATGGCGCCCTTGACACTTTAAGAGATCCAAAGAAACTGGTATTATAACATTTACAACATATCTGTCAACCCAGTAACCTTTTTTTTTTTCTTTTTGGCAACGGAGTCTCCAATACAGTGTTGTCGACTATACTGCCAGTGTCGAACCCAGTAACCTAATTCGCCGGTTTTCTGTGTGTTATCTACGTTTTTTTTTTCTTCATTTCATTCAAGTATTAAATATTTTGTACCCTAAGTTACTAAGCATCTGAAGTTGACTTAAAAATATTATCCTATAACATTATTATTGCACTAAAAAACTTACGACTAACAAATTATTACTAATGGCGCTTGCGCAGGCGAGCGACTTTTGTCCAAAGATGACAAATATATATTCAGAACAGTGAGAGAGATTGAAGAAAAACTTGTAGTAACAGTTCTAGCCCGTTGAAATTCATCCCCTAAATTTGTTCATACAAAAGTAGTCTCTAAACATTGGAAATAAGGTCTATAATATAGTTAGTGGAGAGCGGTCACCGGTGACCTTTTGGAGATATGGGCTAGTTTGGTTTTCACCGCGTCATACCTTCCGTATAATAACAGCGAATGCATTGCCATATATTGGATTTTATTATTACACATTTCAATATTTCGTGCCAAAGGTGATATCAGGACGTCCATTTTTGCCTTTTTCGGCATCTTTCACTTAAATCGAGAATGAAACAAGAGTGCAAAATGAAAATGAACTGTCTTCACACAGAGTGAAGGTTCATTCGGATTTGATTAAATTATAACTAAAGTGATTCCGAGACGCACGACATCACTCGATGACATATTTTAATGAATGTTCATTTCTTAGGCATCCCACTTAAGTCGTCTGAACATGGAATGAAAGATAAATGAAACGTTCACAGGGGATCATTCACCCCCTCGATTTGATTCGAGTGAACCGTCTGATACCTTAACCCGCGTATATCTACGCGAGACACAGTGTATTTTCTATTTTGTCTCATATACCGGCACTTAAGAGAATTAGAATATTCGATAAACAAACAAAAAGATACTTTCAAAATATCTATTTTAACGTGTTTGCCTCGTCTGCGCCGGCCTTCATTACAATACAATTTAAGCATATAATTAATATTTGTTAAATAATGACTAGTACCATTATTTAAGTTGGTATCTATACATATAACTATTCAGTGCTCTTGTAGAAACATATAATTGATATGTTTTCCTTTATTGTTTGAGTGTACCCTGGGTGAGTAGACATACAACCTGTAGAATTATTATTATTAGTAAAACAATAATAATTTCATTTATTAATACTAGTATTTTATTAATACTAGCTATGTAACAGTTTCTCTTAATAAAATGTCAACAAAGATTCATCATTTCGATTGTCTAAAATCTCGTTATCGATTCTGACAATTGGGTAGTTTTCAGGGTATGAAAATTAAAAATCTAATTAGTCCGTCAGTCAGATAATGAAAAAATATTAGACACGTATTTTTTATTTCCTCGTGTTAAGTTCTAATACTTAGATAAAATGGCGCTAAGTTTAGGAGTGGGAGGTTGTTATGTTACGTCATAACGTGCTACAAAATGTGACACGCTGTGACGTCACACGACATATCAAATTAAGATATCGTCGAAAGTATCTAATTTTGTGAGAAAAGAAAAAATACGTGTCTAAAGTTTTAAATTAATGTACCAGACGGACATTCAAATAAAATTTTGGAAACTACCCTATTAGCATCGATGTTTTGGTCATATAATGCTAAAATATGCATAAATAAAACTTTTAAACAATTCATTATAGCTAAAATTTGGTTTTATCAAGTTATTTGTCGGTTGATTTAAATTAGTCTGCTACTGAGACACAACAAAACTTAACCCTAAGTAGTTTAGTCCAATTCATCTCTACTTGTAGATGGCAGTGTAGTGTTTATACGTTTTATATACATTTACAATGGTAACTATATTAAAATTGGTATTTTATTATACACTGTAAGTACTTCAATATTAACGTAAGACATGTCTATAATATTGAAGGAGACTCTGAAGTACTAATGGTACACTTTTTTAGAATGTAATTATTTTAATGTAATTCCTATATATGGGGGCAAACTCATTGGGAAAATGAACTGTAATTCAAATTTGCAACTTTGTCCAGGCCAGAGATCAACCTAGGACTTCAAATCAGATAGAAAACCATCATTATAGCTGCTAAAAACGCTCTAAAAATGAATATTACTGTGTCACGGTACCATTATCTACCCCAGCGCCATCTATGATACAAAACAACGTTTCTTGGACAAAGTAATTGCCATACTTACAATAGACATTAATATAAAAAAAGGAACATACATAATTATTTTTTAAACCAGCACCTTATTCTTCAACAGATACATATTCGCGTAAACATTCTTTTTACTTGACAACACTGGTACATAGAATGCTCTGAACACTTGATGGGACTTTTTGGCGTCTAGTATTGGAACACTAGAGATGACCTCCCATGTGGCGGAGTCTTTATGGTATGCGGGCTCAAGTGTGGATGGTCGGCCGATGCTTGAGTCTACTAAATAGTGGCATTCTTTAGGTTTTATATAAGTCCTGTTGTCACCTTTATTGAGATCGTTGAAATGTGGGTGGATGAGGCGCGTTGCTGGAAAGAGAGAAGAAGATTAATATTAAGCACTAGCTTCTGCGCGCGACTTCGTACGCGCAATCTCGTTTTGTCCCGTTTCCGTAGGGTTATTAGGATTTTTTCTATCTTAAAAACCTTCTCCTAATAATACCAAATACAACGAAAAAACAATTACTGAAATCGGTCCAGCCATTCACGCGTGATGCCGTGACCAAGTGAAAAAGGGATACATTTTTATATATATATAGATTGTCTAAAAACTATTTTAAGTAAATAGAGGCCTAGTTTACAAAATTGTTGTCTCATTGACACATTCTTGGCAGAAAGCGAAATAAGTTCGATATTTGACTGCAATAAGGTTTAACAACTCGCAATCTCATACAAAATTCATAGAAACGTGTCATTTCAGACATTTAAAAAAAGTATCGAATGTGACCAACTAGAAAGTACCTTATTACGGCAACTTTTACATTAGGGATGATGACAGGGCATGATAATTAAAATTCTAATTAGTCCGTAAGTTAGATAATGAAAAAATATTAGACACGTATTTTTTTATTTTGTCGTATACTTAATAAAATAATACTTAGATAAAACGAATCAAAGTTTAGAAGTGGGGGCTAAAACGTCATTTCTACGTATAAAATGTACATAGAAGTGACGTCACGCGACATTTCAAATCAATATATCGTCGAAAGTATTCGTTTCTGTAAGAAAATAAAAAATACGTGTCTAATGATTTAAAATAATCTACCAGACGGACATTAAAATAAAAATTAGGCATCTACCCTATT